TCATCCTTATTTGTTCTTCGTGATCTTCTGCTATTTGCTTGCTTTATTTAATTTATTCGCAGCAGTTGATAATAGAAACCAACCAATCTTTGATTTAAAATGCTTAGGAGTTTTATTTCTTTTATTTTCTCTTTCTTTCGTGTGTGAATAAACGTGCTTGATATTCCGGCTGACCTTCCTTGTGATACGACCCGGGGAACGAATCTTTCGATTCTACTCCGGTAAAAATATTTACAACACTCAGAGTAGCTATTTTTCTTTTAGAGAGTTTGTGAGTAATATGGGTATGAATGAGACCAGAAGTCATGGTCATCACTTCACTTGGTCTAATCTTAGACAAGGGTCTGAGTTTGTTGAGGCTAAGCTTAATAGGATCTTTTTCTCCCCCACTTTGCTTTCTATTTTTCCAAATGCCCTTGTTAAGCATGTTTCTTTAATTTCCTCTGATCACAGTATGCTGGTATTGGAGAATGATTGTGTTGTCCAGGTTAAGCCCAAAAGATTTTCATTTGATGGTACGTGGGTTAGGCTTGAGGGATTTAAAGAAAATGTACAGAAAGCTTGGAATTTAGAAGTGAGTGGGCCAACTTTGTTTAGCATTCAGGGCAGAATTAAAAATGTTAGGATGGCTCCGTTGAAGTGGAAGAAATCGTATGTTACCAATGCTTCTAAAATGATTGGTTACTACAAAAATGCCCTTTTTGATTTAGAAGTTAAAGGGAAGGGTGAAAATTGGGCAGAGTGGTCTAAGTGGAGAAATTTACTCCATTAGGCTTACTTAGATAAAGAGAGTCACTGGAAAAAGAAATCTAGAGTCCTTTGGGTAAAAGAAGGTGATAAGAACACAAAATTTTTCCAAGCCTCAGTCCAACAAAGAAGACAGAAGTGCACTCTTGATAACTTGGTTAACTCTTTTGGGCAGAAATGTGTTGGGGACCAGGCTGAGGTAGGGGAATTAGAAGACTACTTCCAATAAGTTATTTAGTTCATCTAATCCTGATACTGCTGCTTGTAATTTGAATGGTATCCCAGTCACTATTACTAATGAGATGAACCAGGATCTTACTAGAGAAGTGACTGAGGAGGAAATCTTCTTGGCTCTTAAGGAAATGGAACCATCGAAAGCTCCGGGTATTGATGACATGACTACCTTGTTTTTCCAAAGTTGTTGGTCTATTGTTAAAAACCATCTTTGTAATGCAATTTTTAATTTCTTTAATAGTAGTAGTATGCCTAAAGGGATCAATCACACTATCCTTTCTCTCATCCCTAAAAAGGCATCCTTGTTTTAGCTTCTAATTTTAGACCTATTGCCCTATGTACTGTTGTGTATAAACTTACTTCTAAATTAATTGCTAATAGATTGAAAGTAGTGTTAAGCCCTTGCATCAATGCCTCTCAAACTGCTTTTGTGCTTGGGAGGCAAATTTTTGGTAATGTGGTTTTGGCTAATGAGTGTTTGCATTATAATAGCAAAAGAAAAGGGACTAAACATCTCATGGCAGTGAAATTAGACATGGAGAAGGCTTATGATATAGAAAAGTGGGGCTTTTGCTTAGTGTTTGTAGGAAAATGGGCTTATGATAGAGTAAAGTGGGGGTTTCTACTATTTATCTACTACTTCTTTTTCTTTTGATATCAATGCGCAAGTTATGAGTTTTGTCAGACCTTCTAGGGGTACTAGACAAAGATATCCTATCTCTCCTTATCTTTTCATCATTTCGTCTAAAACATTATCTATTTGATCTTTCAAGCTTGTAGTATATATTCTTATTCACGTATCAAAATTAGTAGATTCTCTCATAATATCTCCCATCTTCTCTTTGCTGATGATACTATTCTATTTTGTACTGTTGATGAGTATCATGCTCATTTGATCAACTTCATTTTTGATGTTTTTAAAGCATCTTCAGGACATAGGGTAAATATGTCTAAATCTTCTATTGTTTTCTCTAAAAATACTCCTGTCAAATCTAGAGAAAGAGTCTGCTATGTCCTGTATTCAATGTGTTACTTCTTCTAAATATTTAGGGCTACCTCTAGGGACAGACAGGTCCAAGAGGAGTACTTTCAATTTTGTGTGTGAGTATGTCTTAAAAAAACTGGTAAACTAGAAGAATATATATTTGAGTAAGGCAGGGAGAGAGGTGCTAGTCAAATCTGTGCTGGAAGCTCTCCCAATCTATGTCATTTCTTGTTTCGAACATCCAGATGGTGTTTGTAAGAATATTTGCCAGTCTATTGCTGCTTTTTGGTGGGGTAAGATAGAGGTTGGGGGTAACAAAATTCAATGGGCTAGTTGGGAAGTTTTAGCTCAGCCTAAGTTTAGTGGAGGGCTGGGGTTCAGAATTTGATTGCTTTCAATGATGCTTTACTGGTTAAGAAACAATGGAGAATTTTAACCGATCCTAATTTACTAATCAATAAAGTTTTGAAGGGTACATACTTATATAGGGGCAGTCTGTTAGATGTTAAGCCTAAGAATAAGGATTCTTGATTTTGGAAAAAGTTGGGTGGGGTTATTAAGCTGTTGAAGCTGAGAACTAGGTTTCAGGTGGGTGATGGCAAGAATATCTCCACTTGGGATCATCCTTGGTTACCTAGACAAACTAACTTCAAACATGTCTGTTTTTTCCTGGAGATAGAGATAGGTTATATTGGGTGAGTGATTTAGTTGCTGAGGAAGGTGGTGTGTGGGATAAGAATCTCATTAGACAAACCTCTAACCCTGAGGAAGCCGAGTAGACTTTGCAAATTCCTCTTTTGATGATGGGTAAAAAGGTTAAGTTTATTTCACACTTTGGGAAGCATGGATGTTTTTGTGTTAAATCTGCTTATGAAACTTTTGTTGGGAGGTTTTGTAGAACAAGAATGTGGCCAGTTCTAGTATGGTTTTTAATTTTAGAAATTCCTTGTAGATTTCCACTTGAAACTCTCTATCAAGTGCAAAATTAAACACTTTCTATGGAGTTGTTGGGATATGTTTCTGAGCACAAATGATCAGCTGCTTAAAAGAAATCTCAGTATATAGGTGGCATTTGCTCTATTTGTGGTGAAGGTTTGGAGGATTTAGATCATATTATGTTAAATTGTTCTAGAGCTAGGCTAGTCTGGAAGCTGAGTGGGGTGGAGTGGCATAGCTTTGGTAATCCTTCTGTTACTTTTAAGACCTGGTGGGGTGATATTTATGGTGCTCTCATTTCTGGCAGCCTCAAAGGTAGGATAAGCTTATCCTCTTATATTCTTTAGTGGCTCTGGAAAACAAGGAACACTTGGGTGTTTAGGAATGAGAGGATTAGTGAATGTCAGATAATGAAGGGTGCTAGAGCATAATGGATTGAGTTTCATGAAGTTACAACCAAGATGGTGCAGTCAGGTAGCATAGAAACTTAGTCTTTGTTGAATTATGAGGAGCCATTTTCCTAGAGAGTAGGATAATGGGTTTTCATTGTCAGTGCTCTAAGCCCTGTCAAGAATCAATTAGTACTTTCTATTGCAGTTGATACAGAAGCTGAGACTCCCCAGGTAATTACTGAGAGATGCTGGTTCAATGGGTGACAATGAGGTGGACAATGACGAAGGCCTCTCATGCAAGATGTCTGAACTGTAGCTGCAGGTTGAGGAACAAGCAAGTGGTCAGGAAATTAATGGAGAAGAGGGATTTTGATACTTGTTGTAACTCTTTGCCTTTAATGTGTACTCTTTGTTTAATTTTTTTAATGTGTACTCTTTGTTTAATTTGTTTTCTAGTTTGGAGTTTGTATCTATTTTCTAGTTTGTCTCGTCTATGGTTTCCTTTCTTTTTTCGGTATTTGGCTTGTAAGAAGTTTGCTTTGTAATAGCTATTTCCGTGTCAGTTGCAATCATTTAGTTGCTCGATTTGTATTTTATTTGAGTGTGGAATGAAAAATTATTTGTCGTTAGAAAAAAAAAAATAAAAATATATTACCATTTACCCCTTCGGACTATTTTATCTATCCTCACAACCCAATTTCAATCTTGGTGAGATGTCAATTATGTTTTTCACAAGGCGACTTGTACAATTATTATTTTGTGTTCTGTTCAGTGGTGACATAAACCTTTTGGGCCCTCTTTGTAGGAGATGCGTGTGTTTATAGCGTGTCTCATATAAAATAATAGAAGTAAGTTTAAAAAAAAAATAAAATGTTCTGTGGACCTTTGGGATGCTCTCTCATACATTGTATCCTCAACTACCTTTTTTTCACCCTTTTCAGTTTTCTTCACCTATTATTGTTTTTCTCTATTCAATCTTGAGGTTCTAAGAAGGTTTTCAAGATAACTCATTTTCTTTCCCTTGTGTGTGTGTGTGTGTGTGTGTGTGTGTGTGTGTGTTCTTCATTTCAGGTTGAGTGGCTGCGAGCTCAAATCAGCATCTGGGATGTTCAAAGTAAGTTCTTGGCTGAATAATTATTATTTTTTCCCTTTTTTTAAGTGTAAAAATTGGATCTTTTTTCTTGCTTTTGTTTTTTCATGTCAAAGTTGAGTTGTATTTGCTTTTAAATGGTGAAAAATGGTTTCTGCTTGTGATTTTGATGGTGGGTTTTTGTTGTGGGTTCTTTGCGGGGACGAAAAAAAAATCCCAAAATTAAGTCTTTCATTTTTTCAATTGATATGTTCTTTTTTTTTTTTCTGTAGAAATAAGTTGATCTCAATTGATGTTGTAGAGCTTTCATTTGGGTCTGTAAAAATTAGGGTTCTGCTTTACCAATAGTTAGAACTCTTATTTATGCAACCACTTTGAATCGCAGAAATGAAATTTAAGAAGGACAATCAGCCCCCTGCTTGCAAAAATTTTAAGGGTTTCAAGATTTTTGGCAAAAATTTAGGTTGTCTTGTTAATTTGACGGCAAGGGTAGTTAATTCATACTTGTGTCTGCAGATTTTGGATGGTGAAATTGAATGCATTTCTTCACTTCACATGATTCTCTTGTTATAACAAAATCGATTTTAGAGGACAAACATATCCGCCAAGAAACACGATGCAAGGCAATAACAACGGCTGTTATGTGGGTTTCGACCTACGGACCCACCACCACCATCATCATCAGCAGTCCCCTTTTACATCCCACCTTAATAATAATAACCCTATGCAAGGACCTTCATCATCATCGCTCGTTCCCCCCACGATCCACGAGAATTTTCCCCTCACGACTCAAGAAACCCACCCATTGTCCCTAACCGATTACAACAAGCCTGATCAGCGGGCTAATTCGGCGAGCGATGAGGACGATCCGAGTTTGAACGAAGACCCCGAAAGTGGTCACAGGGGAAGAAAGTCAACCTCCCAATGGCAACGCGTGAAGTGGACAGACGCCATGGTCCGGCTGCTAATCACGGCCGTCTCGTACATAACCGAGGAGGTGGGCCCCGAACACGGGCCAAGAAAGAAACTCGCAAACTTGCACAAAAAGGGTAAATGGAAATCCATATCGAAAGTCATGGCCGAGCGGGGCCATCTCGTTTCACCACAACAGTGCGAGGACAAATTCAACGACCTTAACAAACGCTACAAAAGGCTGAACGAGATATTGGGAAGGGGGACCTCTTGCGAAGTTGTTGAGAATCCCGCGCTTTTGGACTTGATGGACCATGTTTCTGAAAAGGCCAAAGATGAGGTCCGGAAGATTCTGAGTTCGAAACATTTGCATTATGAGGAGATGTGCTCGTACCATAATGGCAACCGACTGCACTTGCCGCCCGACCCAGATTTGCAGCATTCTTTGAGGTTGGCACTCAGGATCCGAGAAGATCAAGATGAAGGCAACTTGAAAAGGCATTTGAATGAAGAGAATGATGAAATTGATGATCGAGAGGGGGGATTTGACGAGCATGGTGGGTTTGAGGAGAATTTGGGCAAGAGAGTCAAACAATGCCCGAGCCATGAGGAATTTAGCTTCAAGAATTCTCTTGGTCCTTTCGGTGGTGGTGACACGGGTGTTAGTTTTCTGGTGGAAAATGATAATGTGTGTGGTGAGGGAGCGAAAACGAATGTGATCTCACAAAAAAATCAGGCGGGCCATTGGAATAAGCTTCAGTTGGAGGAGCAGAGGCTGCATATAGAGGCCCAAATGCTGGAATTAGAGAAAGAGAAATTTAAGTGGCAGAGGTTCTGTCGTAAAAAGGATCGAGAGCTGGAGGTAATGAGGATGGATATCGAGAGGATGAAGCTCGAGAACGAGAGAATGGCTTTGGAAATAAGGCGGTGGGAGATGAGTTTGGATGACAAATGATTGAAAGGTATTTTACTTTTGGTTTTGACTGCGTTTTTCGTTTGAATAGGGAAATATCGATTTCTGCTTGCACCAAGTGATTCGCTACAAGTATTTCTCTTACTAGCTTTTGGTTGTACCATTTTTTGTTTTTCTAAAAGCCATTGAAATGAAATTTTAGCGATGTGCTTAGGTAAAAAAAATTGTTGTGTGGATGCACTGAGATGTGGTTCGTAGTTTAAACTTCAAACTAAATCGTTTTGTAAGTGTGAAATGTCTTTTGTTTTACTTGGCGATTAGCTGAAATATATTTGGTAGTATTTATTGTTATCGTCTTTTCCATTATCAGAAGGCTTTGCTTATCTGTTCACATTGAAACATTTCCCACCGTTAATGTTATTCCTTCACTTTTTTGTGGCCTTGTAAGATTCTTTCACTCAACATCGTGCTCTCGTTTTCATGGTTATTTTCGAGTTGTACAAAACTTTCCACTAAATAAAAAGCCATCATTTGTGGTGTGCTGCTGTTCCATTTTCAGGTCTTTCCAGTACAGTACAATGACTACTGATGTATTGTTTGGCTTGTTGGCATATATGCTTTTCCCGTATTTATGTACCTTTTCTCGAGTTTGTGAACACACCATCTCCTTTGTTACTTTTTTAACCTTTTTTACTTTATGAAACATCTATTCAAATCTTATCTAATCTAATCCCATTATCTCTTGAATATCTATTGAAACACTTTGAAAGGAGAACTGTTGTCAAAATTAGTGTTTTTTCAGTTTCAGCCTTTAAGTAGATGTACTCATAGATGTTTGGTCTTTAATTTATTTATCGCAAAATATTGTACGAGGTTACCTAATTGTTAGGCGGGTTGACGTGTTATACATGTGTGTGTATATATATATATATATATATTTTGTAACATAAATACACATTTATGTTATGAAATAACATAGTTTTCGTTATGTTGCTTTTTTTAAAATGTGACAGAAGTGTGAATATTATTGAAAAGATAGAGCTTTATTAACCAAAAATCTGCCTGACAGCAGTCTTTTACAGATGAATTTACTATATAGTCTTTTCAGTCATGTTTCTTTTTCCCCTTTGAGCCTAAAAAGATGAAGATGGTCTGGGCCAATTGGGGTGGGGAATAAACGGGCCGGGCCATGGAGGGATTTTCTAAGGATGTACGTACGTTGTTCAAACTCATGTCGTTCATTTTATGCTTAGTATTATTTTCATGGATATTATTTATATTTAATTTAATGATTTACAATGTTATTTTTATTTTTATTTTTATTGTAAGCTCGATTTTTATGTGATGATTAAGTGAGTGTCCACACTTATTTAATTATCAAGTTAATGATTAAAAGGGAATTATTTAGATGTCCTCATCTATTTAATTTTCCTAAATATTAAATGCAATTATGTTAATATAATTTTAATTATAAAATGACTTAATTTAATTAATATAATTTTAATTTATTAATGAAAATAATAAATATTAAGATGATAAATTGAGCTCAAATAACAGTCCAGTTTTCCCAAGCCAGATAAAAAACTCAAGACTTACGATATTTTCATCCCTCATCCAAGCAACAGGAATCCTAATTTTTATCAGTTTCCTAGTTCTATTGTGCAAAGAATTCCTATTGTATACGGTACCAATCCCACATTAAATATCTCTCCCTTTACCTCTATCTCTCTCACCGATCCCTCTCATCTCTCTCGACCTCTCCCTCTTTTTCTTTTTTTTTTCGAAGCAATCATCACCATCCCCATCGCCCCCAGCTTCATCGTCATCACCATCACCATCGTTCATCGTCATCACAGTCGATCACCATCCCCTCCATCATCCCAGCGGCCGTCCACCATCATCATCATCGCCGAGCTTCATTGCCATCATCCCTCCACGAGCAGCGACCGGCGATCACTTCCCAGCAGCCCAGCTACACCGTGCGCCGCCATCATCGAGCAGCAGCCACCAGACGTGCCTTCGACCACTGTGAGAAGCCACCATCTTCGTCGGGCAAGCAGCAGGTCGCCGTCGTCAAGCAGCAAACAGGCCATCCTCCACCGTGAACGAGCAGACCCCAGCCCTCCTCCTTCCAGCGAGTAGCCCTCCACGAAGCAACGCTGTCGGGACCCGAGGAGTTCCGTCGGAGTACCCATCGTAGCCGTTGAGCCCCGCCGAGTCCCGTCGGAGCGTTAAACGTAGCCGACGCAATCCGCCGCGTCCCAGCCACCGTGAAGCAGCACCTCAGCAAGCCTTCACCATTCGCAGCCACCACCTTCGTCGAGCAGCCATCGTACCTCAGCCACGAACGAGCAGCCCCCACGTACACGGCCGAGTCCACCGAGCTTTCATTCGAACCCTACCGTTGTTCTTTTATTCGAGCGGTAAAACCCTAACACCTTAACCTCCTTGGACTGTTAATTTGAATTCGGTTAATAACGTAAGAATTATTAATGTGTTAAGGCTCGATAATTGGATCTCGTATGCTTGCTTAAGGTCCGAGTAAATAAATGTTAAGTTAATGTCGAATTGATATTGGTCGGAGCCTTGTCGGGCTTCCGAAAGAATTGTTTTAATGATATGTGAATGGAGTTTATTGTTGTTAATTTATGTGTTCATAATCGTGTCTTATTGTGTGATAAACGTGCCTAGAATCATCAATTATATGTTGCTTTCGACATGTTAAGAAGTTCGGATAATTAGGTTATGATTTCATGTGTAATTGTCATTTTCGTGTTGTCTGTTCGGAAGCAATTTAGGCCCCTGAGATGTTGTTTTCGGTTTTCGAGTTCTTCATATGATATGTAGTTCGTTCAGTTGTGTTTACGTGAGCTTTGGAATCGTGCAATTTTGACTTAAAACGAATAAGTTATGATTTTTACAAAATTGACTACGCGAGCAGTTTTTCTTAAATCCGACTGCAGTTAGGTTTGGATGTTTTGTGTGTTTATGATATGATGATGTGCTCAAATGAACCTGAAGTCTTCATTGAAATTGTAGTTCTATGTGTTATCTTTCATATGGTTCTGGAATCAAGCAAAAATATGGTCCGAGTAGTGAATGATACCTGTTTTCGTAAAACCGCGCATGAGTTTATTTTAAAGTTCTGGACAGTATTTTAGCTTTGAATGTTTGCTGGTTTGGACCATGAATATGACCTTATTTGCTTTTGAGTGCTAAATGAAAGTTGTAGTACCATGTCTTGGGAGCAATATGAGACTTGAATCATGTTAATGCGACTTGTATGTTGAAAGATATGCTCATTTTAAAAATGCAGCGCGTGTTAAGTTTTGTCAAAGGATTAAGTGTAATTGTTTAAGTGAGTCTTATGTTTATAAAGCATGCTTATGTGACATGTATGAGCTGTAAAGCATTGAGTGAGATCATGATGAACCTTAGGCGCTTAGAATAGTATCCGTAAGCAAGCAAGCTAAGAGTTCGATTGTCCAAATATTTTATAATAAGAATGTTTTCAAAAGAATGCAAGCAAGGCGAAGCCAAGCGAGCAAAGTTTTTCTAAAGCTTATGTATGATTATAAGTATAATAATAAGTTTCATGTTAAGACACTAAGACATGACCCCAATGAATGTAGTTTTACGAGGAGTCGAGCCCTCGAGATTTCTTTCAAGTTCAAGTCTAAGTCGAGCATTCTACTGAAAAGGTGGGGGAAGTTCTACTTTATTAATCCTCTTTAATTATCTATGCTATGAATGAAGTTAAGTAGTTTGCATAGTACCCATGTTTATACAATGTTCCAACATTCGAGCAAGTCGTTTGTTGCAGTACCAAGGTTCACGAACTATAACTCTAGAAGGTAGCTAAGTGCTAGGGTTAGAGGGTGTAAGTGATTATGTGTAACCTTCGTTGGTGCACTCTTCGAACGGTTGTCCCCGTCGATAAGACTGTACGGAGCCTAGTGAAAGGCTATCTTCCTTCAACCTATTGAAAGGTACTCATCAAGCCTATTTGGCCATGTCATCTGCGAGAGGCATTGTTCTTCCACCACCATAATGTGGTATAAGGAGTTTGATGAGTGGTGGGAGTGTGACAAAAATGTAATCGCCTGCATGCAAAGACTCTAGTGTTTAGTTGTCTAATAGTGTTGTAGAAGCAAGAAAGTCTTTCGACTTGTGGGTCACCACTCGTCGGGAGCTCATGATTATGTGGAGTATAAGAAAACGATTTCATGCTTTATAGTTGATTAGGATGATAACGTACATTGAATAACTTTTTCTTACACCCCGCTTTTCGTACATTGAATAAATTTTTCTTTTTATGAGACATTTGAAAACTTTACTTGGAACTCAGGGTGCTACTCACTTTGAAAAACTTTTCATACATGATCTTTTCATAAACATTAAAACTTTTCATGAACATAAACATTTCATACATGACCATTCATTGCGTTGCCTTGAGAACTTACACTTTAACTTGAATTGCATGAACCATGACTTATTTCATAAAATAAACTTTGCATAGCGGAAGCTTTTAAAACATAAGTATCATAAACATAAAAACATGTGACCAATCTCGCCATCGCTCCTTTGCCAGCTCGCCAAAAACCTGGGTGTGGAAAACAAATGGGGTGAGCATTTCCACTTACTCCGTGAGAGATCCCTCTACAACACTATTAGACAACTAAACACTAGAGTCTTTGCATGCAGGCGATTACATTCTTGTCACACTCCCACCACTCATCAAATTCCTTATACCACATTATGGTGGTGGAAGAACAACGCCTCTCGCAGACGGCATGGCCAAATAGGCTTGATGAGAGTATCTTTCAATAGGTTGAAGGAAGATAGCCTTTCACTAGGCTCCGTACAGTCTTATCGACGGGGACAACCGTTCGAAGAGTGCACCAACGAAGGTTACACATAATCACTTACACCCTCTAACCCTAGCACTTAGCTACCCTCTAGAATTATAGTCCGTGAACCTTGGTACTGCAACAAACGACTTGCTCGAATGTTGGAACATTGTATAAACATGGGTACTATGC